GGGGCTGCGCGGGGGAGGGGCTGCGCGGGGGAGGGGCTGCGCGGGGGAGGGGCTGCGCCGGGACCCTCCGGGGTGAGAGGTGCTGGATCCTGCAGGTCGTGACAAAGGTTTGGTCTGCTGCCTGCAGTCAGTGGCGTTGCTGAAAGGGAATGAAGCGGACCCAACATGATCGAATGTGTCCTTTTGAAAGGTCACTACGGCTTCAGCGTAAAGGATGGTTCGGAGGTGGCCGGGCTGGAAAATTGTCTCAGAAGTGCAGACAAGGTGGAGGGGAGCTAAGTGAGCCAGTGCCATGGGGGCAGGGGTAACCAAAAGTGAGTGCATTTGGAACCTACTGAAGACACAGACCACCATGGCAGAGAAAGCCTGGAACCCAGGATGCCCCAGTGTGAAGCCTAATCAAGCACATTGTCCCATGGCCTGGTCCCTGAGCTGCAGAGCCCCAGGGGAGGCACAGGTGCAGAAGAAAAAAATCCATGGCACTGGCTAGGTCACTCCGAGGTTCCTAGGGAATGCCAGGTAGAGGTGGCCGGCAGGTAGCTGCGTGGCTTCCACCTGTTAGCCCTGGGTGAAGAAAGCAAGGAAGAGGAGACTCCGGTGGGAGGAGGGAAACGGTTTGGGTTGAAATATTTGTGGCAGGAACCTCTCAGTTTTGTGACACTTCTGAGACACGATGGATAGATGAAGCCTGCTCCACCCTGGGATCAACCTTCTTAGAAACACAGGGACCAGCAGGAAAAGAAGACGTGCAGAGAGGTGGGAAAGCACAGAGGGCAGGAAGAGCCAGGGCCGCCAGGAAGCCGAAATCCATTTACCCTCCTTTAGAAACTAGTGACAGCCTTTCACGTTCTGGCATTCTCTGCAGAAATTCAGGAGCGTGTCCACACCCCATGCGCGCACTCTGCCTGTCTGAAGACACTAAGGGAAAAATCGTGAAATGGAAACAGAAGCCACGGTCCTCTATTTCTCTTACTTCAAGACAAGTGACAGAAGGAGCGCTGCTCAGTCACACGGCAGTTCCCAGGTCCACCTGCGGCACCTCCAGACACCAACCCCAAAGGAGAGGCTACTGTGGGTTTTTTGTTTGTTTTCTTCAGTATGATGCGTTTTCTTTGTAGTTTAACCTCTCTCCACCCAACAAAGACGACAGAGAACAGGTCTCACTGCTCTTCAGGGAAACCCACAGGAGACCCTGGAGAGCGAGCCATCCTCACAGCCTGCCAGGAAGTCATGTCACTCCACAGGGTGAGGTGCCATGTCTCCGCCAATACCTTCGAGAGGAGTGGCATTTTCAGCCTTGGGCATCATCGTGTCTGCTTCAAAATGTGGCTGCAAATGAAAAGCCCAAATCTGAGTGGCTTTATCCTATCAGAGTGGAAGATCGGGATTCTAGGATGGATCAGAAAGTCAGAAATTGAGCTGGGAGTGGGAGCAGTGCCCAGGAGCCTGGGCGGAGGGACGGCACGTGGGGACAGCCCTAAAGGGGCAGCACCAAGCACTCACCAGCTCTGGGATTTTCCTCCAGCCCTGTCTGCCCCCATACGGCACCCCTGGTGCTGGAGGAGCGTGAAGGGTAGACTACCTCGGTGCCGTGGTGCTCCCGACCACTGTCAACCTGGACATTCAGCCACAGAGACCTCAGCCCTCCCGAGGTACTTGCTCATGTTTAATCATCCTAAGGGGTAGAAAGTTTATCCTCATGTTGCACTGAATAAATCATTAAAGCCATTCATTGCCAGGTGCAGTGGCTTTGCAGGTAATCCCAGCCCTTTGGCAGGCCGAGGCAGGAGGATTGCTTGAGCCTAGGAATTTGAGACCAGCCTGGGCAACAAAGTGAGACTCCTTCTCTATAAAATTTTTTAAAACCCAGCTGGGTGTGGTGGGGGTGATGGGAGAGGAGGAGGAGGAGGAGGAGGGTGGGAGGGGAAGGGGAAGGGAAGGCATTACTTCCGTCTTACAGCTCCATCCCTCTTCCACACACCCCACAAGCATTTGGGATCACAGTTGTGTTCCTCTGTCTCTGCTGTCCCTGCATTTTGCTGAGTAAATGTTCCTGGGTGACCCTGATCCTTGTTTGAAAGGTAGGTTCCAGGGCTCAAGGGCACAGTGGCAGGGAGAGAGAGAGAGAGAGAGACAGAGAGAGAGAGAGAGAGAGATCAGGGGCTGAGGACTACTGGTGTCTGCCTTATCCAGTCTTTGCAGGATCACCCCGGCAGCTGGGCAGCACCCCCTGGTCCAGAACCGAGCAGCAGTGCTGACACAGATTCCCTTTTCTTTCCACGTGACCCTTTGGACTCTCCTGAGCTGCATGAGTGGCTTGAGGCAGAGACAGAACCATGATATGAGCCAAGCTGCTGTCCGGGTAAAGTCTACCGTGGTTAAGCACTATCTCAAGCGCGTCTGAAACGCACATACACGCACGCAGCGTGTTCTCGCCATCCTTTTACGCAGCGTGCCCTGACTCATATACTTACAGTAGACTGTCAGTCACTCACCCCGGTGCCTGCTGGGGACCCATGGAGAGCATCCCCTCCATATGGCTCATGCCCTGCCCCCATGAAGTTTGGTGGTGGTGGGTGGGATATGGGCAGCCGGACACCCAGGGGCCTCTCACGTTGGTGAACCCCTTGCCGCCCCCCCAGGGTCCCCCATATGCACCTCTGGTCCTGGTGTGTTGTTCTGTGTTGCAGAACATCCCAAACAGCTCCGGGCAGAATTCCAGTCCCAGTGTCTTGTCGATGACAAATAAGAGAAACCCTGCACAGATCTCGGCTCCTGAAGCCCAAATGTCCAGGGGCAGGCGGGGTGCCCCCCAGGTCCTGGGCTTGCTCTGCTTCCTCTGGGGTGCTCCCTGACCAGGACCCAGAGGGCAACACCCAGGACAGCACAGCAGCGAGGGCCCTTTCCCCAGCAGAGGCTCCCCCAGAGGCCTGGGCTGCTCTGAGGGAAGCCCCTGACCAGTTCCACTCCTGGGAGGGCTGCATTTTAGGATGGTTGATTTTAGGATCAGCTTGGCTAGGCCATGGTGCCCATTGCTCAGGTGTTTTTTAGATGGGATGAGCATTGAAATCTGCGGACCTGAGTGGAGCAGATACCCCTCCATAATATAGGTGGGCCCCGTCCAATCTGCCAAAGGCCTTAAGAGAGAAGATTGGGCTCCTCTGTGGAGAAGGGACTTCCGCGCCCAGCCTGCAGGCTTCAGACTTGAGCCTGAAGCAGTGACTCCTCCCTGGTCTCCAGCCTGCTGACATACCGGGCAGCTTCCAGATTTGCAAACCTCATTATCGCGTGAGTCCTAGGACAATTCCTTAAACTCAATCAAACTATCTCTGCTGCTGTCTGTCTCTCTCTATCTCTCTGGTGAGAAATGGGAGCCTGGACTGACTGGAGATCAGCTGCCCCTGGCCCCTGCCCCTCTCCAGTCCCCACAGAGTCTTCTGTGTGGACCTAGAGGGAACCAGCAGGGTCCTGCACAGGGCGGATGTGACCTTTGGCCTCTGCGGTCTCTGCCCCCAGAACTTAAACCCAGCTGGACCCAAGGCCATGGTCCCCATGCCAGCCCTGCACACCCCAACCCGTGCCCACCACAAAGCCCGGGCTGTCAGCACACACTGCCCACTCCACACAAGGGGCCGGTTGCCCCTCCTCAGAGCTCTGTGGTCAGCCTCAGGGCCCTGCCCTGTGCCATGCAGAAAGGCACCTCTCCCCCAGGAAGCAGGCTGGCTCCCTTCTTTGAAAGCCTGAGTGCTGGCGTTGCTCTCCCGGGCTCACACCCTGGTCCTGCTCCACCGTTATTGTGGCAGGCATTGCTCCTACAATCAAAATCAAAATTCTCACGATGGGACCCACCCCTCGGTCACTGCCCTCCACTCTCCTCCCTCTCCTTGGGGATACTCTTGCTCCTGGGGCGAGGCATCAAAGGTCCCAGCGTGGTGGGGCTTTGAAATGGCAAGCAGTGAGCGTAAGAAGAGCAAACGGTTTCCTCTCATTATAAGCAAAGGCTTTCAGAGCTCCGTTGGGGGAAAAAAGTAGCTCATCTTTTCCTTGGGCATTTTCTCTCCCTAATGTCCAGTTCTCAATGGCAAACCCTCCAGCCCCCTCCCTGAGTTACACAACAATTTGGAAATATTTTAAATGGTTAGAAAGGAGGGATCCAAAAGGGGCAGGTACCGGCTGAATAAGACGTAAATGATTCTCTAGGGCAAAAGTCAGGAAGATGAAAGCATGAACAGAATAAACAGCCCTGGCTAATTTTCGGGGAGGTCCCAGAGAGGCAGGGCCACTCCGGAGCCAGACCTGGGAGCTGGCCGGGGAGCCACCGCCGGAAGTGTGGGTCCTCCCAGATCAGTGCGGGGCAGGGCAGTTTGTTTGCTGTTGGAGGAGAGTCCCTTTGTCCCTTAGACTCACCCGTGAGTCCAGCAGCTTCAACGAAGGCAGGGCAAGAACAAGACGGCACAGAAACAGCCGGAGCCTTGAGCCTTTCTTGTGGCTTCTTGGGTGTGGGGCACAGATTGGGAAGATCTTGGAATCTGATTGCCCTCAGTTTGGAGCCAAGGCTGCAGACCAAAGCCAGGGATAGTTTGCCTCTCACTTTCTCATCCCTGCCGATGTGTGATCCAGGCCCTAATGTCCATCTTGCAGAAACGCTATGCTCAGCAGTCCACGGAGGGAAGTGTCTGTGTTCCATATCTCCAGGTGTGAACATCCAGGGCTTCCTACCTGCAGCATCCCAGCCAGGAAGCAGCACAGAGCATCTCCGCAGCCTGAAGACGAGGGGTCCTCCCTGTGACCTCACTCTTGCAGACAGACCAGCAGCCCCCTTCTTAGTGAACTCCTTCCCAGGTAGAGCCTGTCTGACCCCGAATTCCTAGAAACACAGCTCCACTACTTCCAGTTAGGTCCCTGATAAGTAATACAAAGCCAAGAGAGTTTTCATCTTTGAGACAGAGTTTGTAGCCCAGGCTGGAGTGCAGTGGCGAGATCGCAGCTCACTGCAACCTCTGCCTCCCGGGTTCAAGCGATTCTCCTGTCTCAGCCTCCCGAGTAGCTGAAACTATAGGAGTCCACCATGCCCAGCTAATTTTTGTATTTTTACTAGAGACAGCGTTTCACCATGTTGCCCAGGCTGGTCCCAAACTCCTCGCCTCAAGTCATCCGCCTGCCCCTCCTAGCAAACTGCTGGGATTATAGATGAGAGCCACCATGACCGGCCCCAACAGAGTTTTCAGACTGCGGTACCTTTGAGTTCCCCTTAACTGACACCCCTTAATTCTCCCCTGGCACTGACGACAAACCCCAAATGCAACAGGCAGAGATGGCCCCTCCCAGGTTGGGGCGCTAGTGGGGGAAGGAGAATGAGAAAGAAAGAGCCTCAGATCCATATCCCTGCTGGGAAATAGGTAGATAAAAGTCCCAGCCTTGATCAGGAGAGAAAAGAAGCAGAAGTCACAGCGGATCCTCAGCTGCGTCTTCAGAAGGGTATGAGCTGCATCATCAATACATCACAGTGAAACTTACAATTCCTGCCCCAGTTCATGGTGCTGTTGATGAGATGGACTGGGAAGAACCCAGTTAGAATGGACCCCAGACAACATCTCATCCCAAGGCTCTGTCCCCTGCTACTTGGAGCGGAGAAGGGAAGGACATTTCCACCGGGCACACCCTTATGGGATGGGGGTCCCAGGCCCCCCCTGCCCTCCTGGCTCTCGCCACCCTCCCGGGTGCCCTACATTACCTAGGGGTCCCAGCTCTGGAGGAAAATGAGAAGGGACATCACCTGCACTAGGAAACCTGCAAGAAACAGGCCATGCCATAGGCTGAACAGTGTCTCCCTGAGAAAAAAGGGAAGTGAAGAGTCCCAGCCCTCGGACCTCAGAATGTGACCGCAGTTGCCCATCACCCCACACTCCAGCATGGTTGCCTGTGCTTGTTTCTAGCACTACGACCTCCCCTGGGTGTGGGCTGTGCCAAGGCCCCTGGGCAGTAGCCCTCACCTGTCCCCAGCCACTGGGCCCTGATGGGGCTACCCCTGAAATCTCTCTCTGCTTTTTTTTTTAGACAGAGTCTCACTCTGTCACCCAGGCTGGAGTGCAATGGCTCGATCTCGGCTCACTGCAACCTCCGCTTCCTGGATTCAAGTGAGTCTCCTGCCTCAGCCTCCTGAGTAGCTGGGATTACAGGCGCCCACCATCATGCCCAGCTAACCTTTGTATTTTTAGTAGAGATGGGATTTCACCATGTTGGTCAGGCTGGTCTCAAACTTCTGACCTCCAGTAATCCACCAGCCTTGGCTTCCCAAAGTGCCGGGATTACAGGCGTGAGCTACCACACCCAGTCCTGAAGTCTCTTTATAGAGTCTTTGCTGAGAGCAGCAGCCCTGGATCCCAGGTCCACTCTGCAGAAGACCTGACAAGGGGCACCCTTCTCTGCTGCAGGAAAAATGAGCACCCACTGCCGGCCGCCATTGTTACAGCTCCTCCTCCGACCCACCTGCCCCCCTCTGGGGCCTCCCAGGACTCTGATGACATCAGCCCCACCCAGATCATCCAGGATCCGCTCCCTGTCTCAGGACCCTTTACGTCATCACATCTGCAAAGTCCCCTTTGCCATGTAAGGTCACATATTCACAGCTTCCAGGGATTAGGATGGGGACATCTTTGGGAACCATGACTCTGCCAATCACAGAACCAAATGAGGTCACTGGGGAGAAAGGGCCAGCAGAGGAGAGAGAGGGCTGGAGGCCTGGGCAGCACAGGTGAGCTTAGGGCAGGAGCCAGCCCCAGACAGAGCCATCAGGTGGGGGGAGCCTCAAGAGTGATGGGCCTTGGAGGCCACGAGGGCAGAGAGACGTCATTAGCTGAGATGCAGACTGACCAGGGCCCGTGGCAGCCTGGTGACAGTGCAGCAGGAGCAGTCTTAATGGAAGGTGGGAAGGTGGCAGGAGGGAGCAGGTGGAAGATGAACAGGAAGAGTGGCAGGTCCAGGCACATTCTCAGAGAGCATTACTGAGGAGGCCAGGGCCACCGTGAAATGTGTGAAGCTGGGGTTCTTTGTTTGCATCAGGCACTCCCATCAATTGTCCTGGTTCCAGAGACACTGCCTGGTCTCTGGGCTCCACGCAAGGACCTGAGCAGCCCCCAGCACTCCCTTCTGCCCCCTCCTACCTCCCAGCTAGAATCCGCAAGGACAGGCTCACCATGAGGGAGGGGCCCGAGAGCACAGCTGTCTCACATCAGGCCTGGTCAGTCAGGAGACGCTCTCTGAGCTCTTGCTTGGCTCCAGAGGCCAGGGTGCAGGTGGCCACCTCAAGTGGACCCGTGGCCCTGGGGGCTGAAACCCCTGGGGTCTTGTCCGGCAGCAACACACTGGATATGATCCATGAGAAGCTTCCCCAAAACCCTCTTCCCCACTGGGCTGGTGCCTGTCACAAAAAGTCCTTTTAGATTCTTGTTACCACCCCACACACCCAAGATGCACCTTCCAGGGTCCACAGTCCAAAGTGATTTGCACGCAATTTGTTCCACCAAATGCCCCAGAAGCTGTTTAATATTGAAGGAATAGACTGGGACCCAGGGTTAGGGAATGTAAATATTCTAAATATAAGTGCTCTGGGCCACACGCAGCGGCTCAGGCCTCTAATTCCAGCGCTTTGGGAGGCTGAGGCAAGCAGATCACTTCAGCTCAGGGGCTGGAGACCGGCCTTGGCAGCACGACCAAACCCTGACTCTACAAAAAATACAAAAACTAACTGGGTGTGTTGGAGGTGCCTGTAGTTCTACCTACTTGGGAGGCTGAGGCGGGAGGATCCCCTTAGCCCGCGAGGTTGAGGCTGAAGTGAGCTGTGATCATGCGACTGCACCCCAGCCTGGGCAACAAAGTGAGACCCTTTCTAGATAAATAAATAATAAATAAGTACTTTGATCGTGGAAAATGTTGCTGTACAGCAATCACAGACGACCGAAATGATGGCTAAGATAGAACGGTTGAATTTAGCCCTTTCTTCTTAAAAGCTGAGCTGTTGTTTTTCTTTTTTTCCTACTGTGCCAAGGCTGGCAAAGTAGAATCCTAGCAACTTTTATATGGGAAAGGAAATGTTAACCCCTGACCCTGGTTCCTGGTTGACTCCTGGGAACTGAACCTTTGTGTCCCTCCAAAATCCACGTGTCGGAACACTAATCCCCGTGGTGATGGTGAGGTGAGGCCTTTGGGAGGTGAGGGTTATAGGTCAGGAAGCTGCAGCCCTCATGAATGGTGTGATGGTGAATTTTCTGTCGACTTGACTGGGCTAACAGGTGTCCAGGCACCTGGTAGAGCATGACTTCTGGGTGTGCCTGTGACTGTGTTTCCAAAAGCATTAGAGTCAGCAGACTGAACTCAGAAGATCCATTCCCACCACTGTGGATCAGTGCTATCCAGTCCACGGAGGATCCTGACAGCACCCCAAAGTGGACGAAGGGCAATTTCATTCTCTCCTCTGGAGCTGGGACAGGCATCTTCTGCTCTAAAACACCAAAAGCATTGGCAACAAAAGCCAAAATAGACAAATGGGAGCTAATTAAACTTAAGAGCTTCTACACAGCAAAAGAAACTACCGTTAGAGTGAACCAGCGACCAACAGAATGGGAAAAAAATTTTACAATCTACGCATCTGACAAAGGGCTAATATCCAGAATCTACAAAGAACTTAGATTTTCAAGAAAAAAACAACCCCATCAAAAAGTGGGCAAAAGATATGAACAGACACTTTTCAAAAGAAGACATTTATGCAGCCAACAAAGATAGAAAAAAACCTCATCATCACTGGTCATTAGAGACATGCAAATCAAAACCACATTGAGATATCCCCCCACACCAATTAGAAAGGCGATCATTAAAAAATCAGGAGACAGCAGATGCTGGACAGGATGTGGAGAAATAGGAATGCTTTCACACTGTTTGTGGGAGTGTAAATTAGTTCAACCATTGTGGAAGATAGTATGCAGTGTGGCAATTCCTCAAGGATCTAGAACTAGAAATACCATTTGACCCAGCAATTCCATCACTGGGTATATGCCCAAAGGATTATCAATCATTCTATTATAAAGACATATGCACACATATGTTTGTTGTGGCACTGTTCACAATAGCAAAGACTTGGAACCAACCCAAATGCCCATCAATGATAGACTGGATAAGGAAAATGTGGCACATATACACCATGGAATACTATGCAACCATGAAAAACGATGAGTTCATGTTCTTTGCAGGGACATGGATGAAGCTGGAAACCATCATTCTCAGCAAGCTGACACAAGAACAGAAAACCAAACAATGCATGTTCTCACTCATAAGTGGGTGTTGAGCAATGAGAGCACATGGACACAGGGAGGGGAACGTCACACACTGGGGCCTGTCAGGGGCTGGGGTGCTAGGGGAGGGATAGCAGGGGGTAGGGGGATTGGGGAGGGATAACATTAGGAGAAATATAGGGGATGGGTGCAGCAACCCACCATCGTGTGTACCTGTGTAACACACCTGCACGTTCTGCACGTGTAACCCACAGCTTAAAGTATAATTTTTTTAAAAAAAAGTTGAAGACCCGCCCCAAGCTCCTGGGGACTGACGAGAGTGACTTTCCCAGAAGACCTTGTGCTTCCAGAGCATTGGCCACTTGGTGTGGTGCAGACCCCAGAGAGCCCCCAAGTGAGGCCGGTAGCCTCTTGTCACTTCCTCCAGGCCAGTTCCTGAGCTCCCATTTCTGCAGCCTGGAAGGAGGAGATGTCTTTGCTCCGTAGGTTATAGGAGATTTCCAAGGGAAGGAAAGAAATCAGATAATTCACTCCCTGGTCAGTGTCCCGGGCTGGAGGACGAAGGTGAGAACTGCTGGCCAGACACAACCCCCCAACCCTGGGGCCCTGAGAGCAGGGATTCCAGCAGAACACAATCCCCAAAGCCCTCCCAGGTCTTATCTCTCCATCCTGGAGAGAGACCAGCGAACGGGCAGTCAGAGCCAGGAGTCTGGGGGCACAGAGGGAACTGCCTTCTGGAGAGAGCCTGTCTCACTCAGCCGGATGTCACCCAGCCCTAACGCTGGGAGCAGAGGGTGTTCGGGCAGCTCCAACCCGGTGGTCCCTGGGGAGGGAGCCTCCTCCCCAGTTCTCCAGGCTCTTCTGGGCGATCGTGCTGCCCCCTGGCCACTGTTCCACCTTACACCACTCACCCCTCTCCCCAGGAGCTTAATTATCGTTTACAATGAAAAGGAGATTCCAAATAAAATGCCTCTTATTATGCCCAATCAACCTTTATGGGCAGTCAATTGCCCAGAAGCAAATCTTCCCTCGCCTGGGTCAGCCCTGCATGTCTGTGAGTGAAGGTCTGCCCCGCCAGTCTTCTGTGAAACTCTCCATGCTCCAGGGTTTGATTAAGCAGACTGGGCTTCCTCGTGGCTCAGGCCCGTGTGCAACTTTCACAATAAATGCATGCATCGCACGCAGACACAGAGAGGCACGCATGGAGAGGTGCACACGGACACACACACACGCACGGCTGCACTCACACCTGCACACACGTGCGCACACGCGTGTCCTGATCCCTGCAAGGCCACCTCCTGCCACTGCTCTTGCTCCGGCACCCAGGATTTCATGAAAAGCAAACAAACTGCATCTCCCTGATTACATTTCCTGATTTCTTAGAAAGCAAAATTGTAGTAATTGGTTTACATTAAGCATCATGCTATTTGGAAGAGGGAAATTAAATAGAATACCGTTCTAGCTGATTCGTAGGCAAACATAGCTAAAGAAAACGAGCCTAAACAACCATCTCTGCAGGGCAAATTGCAATTTCAGTAACTGCTGCAACAAAAGCTATTCCACCGTGTGGTGTCTGGGTGGCAGGATGGCCATGGGGATTCCAGGTTCCGGAGAAGCTTCGGACACTCTGGACAGTCCTGTGAGGACTCAGATGGCTCAGGAGGCCCACCCAGTGTCCGGGATTGGGGGGCACTAACAAAGGTTCCAGCTTCTGAAAGTCAGCTCTGCAACTGCCACCCCTCACCAGGCTGCAGGCTCAGCTCACTGGGCCAGCGGTTCAGGACTGTGGCTTGCCCACGGTGCTGAGGGTGACAGGTGTAACCTTCAGAGCCCTCCACCCCTCTGCCACAGGTGTCCGTTCGGGCACCAGGCTCCGGAGCACCCCTGGGGGAGCTGTGAAGATGTGGCAAGGACTCCACCCCACCCTCTCCCACTATCCTGCAGCCTCTGTCGTCCAGGACCAAGTCCCTGACTGAGCCCTTGGTGCGTGTGGCATCCCTCCCCCTTGGCTCTGTGCTCCAGCGTCATGTGAAAATTGGGGCCTAATGGGGTTCAACGAGAAAACATCAAACCACATCTGTGGTTGGCAGAAGTCCACATGGGAAAGGTCGATTCCATGAGCAGGTGTTTAACTTGGGACCTGCTTAGCTGGCCAAGGCTCTATCAGCACCTGACCATTGAGGTTCACGAGGCCCATGGGCTCTGTCAGCAGGCGAATGAGGGGAGGAGGGGGAGGAGGGAA